TCCCTTCCTCTGGCAACTCTGCGCATGCGCACACTGGGAACAGGCTCCAGCTATTCTTCTGCTTCACTGAGGTCTGACTGCGAAGGCAGCTGATAACTGTCAGATGGCCCTGGCCTCCTCTCTGCCTCCGACACAGAGCCCTCACCAGATTCTTCCCCACACTCCAGGACTGGCCCAGGTTCCTCCCCAACCTCCTCACTGTCCAAATCTTCTGCCATCTCTCTGGCTGCTGGTGGGCCACAACATGACTAGCTGCCTTAAGCTAGGCTGAAGTGATGAAAAAGGGGAGGGGGAGTACTTACAGGGTGCCCCCATTGTTGAGTGACGCGGAGCTCTTTTGACGCAGGAAAGCATTGGGGAATCCTGTCTGGCTCTGCTCCAGGGCTGCTTTCAGTGGGTGGAAAAGGGAAACGGTACCAGTCTAGAAGAAGGAGGGAGGAGAGAGAGAGAGTGGATTTCACAGAATCCCAGGGCTGGAAGGGACCTTGGAGGTCTTCTAGTCCAACCCCCTGCTTAAGGCAGTCCTTATTCCATCCCAGTCAAATGGCTGTCCGATCTTTCCTTCAAAACCTCAACGGATGTATCGTCCACAACTGAGTAATGAAACGTTTGCAAGAAAACTAACTATTCAGTTAGTTAATTGTTGTCACAGTCAGGAAATTTCTCCTTGGATCTCTCTTTAACAAACTTCCACCCATTGCTTTTTCTCTTGCCTTCTGGGGCTTTGGAGAATAGCATAGCGCTTAGACTTATATACCGCTTCGCAGTGCTTTTACAGCTCTCTCTAACCGGTTTACAGAGTCAGCCTCTTGCCCCCAACAATCTGGGTCCTCATTTTACCCACCTTGGAAGGATGGAAAGCTGAGTCAACATTGACACTGGCAAGATTCAAACTTGGCAGAGTTAGCCTGCAATACTGCATTCTAACCACTGCACACCATGGAAGGAAGGAAGGGCAGAAGGAAGGAAGGGAGGAAGGAAGGGAGGGAGGGAGGAAAATAGCAAGAACACTTGGACTTATATACCACTTCACAGTGCTTTTACAGCCTTCTCTAAGCAGTTTACAGAGTCAGCCTCTTGTCCCCAACAATCTGGGTCCTCATTTTACTCACCTCGGAAGGATGGAAGGCCAAGTCAACCTTGAGCTGGTGAGATTCGAACTGCTGAACTGCAGCTAGCAGTCAGCTGAAGTAGCCTGCAGTGCTACACTCTAACCACTGCGCCATCTCGGCTCTTAATAGGTCAACCCTGTCTTCTCTGTGTCAGTCCTCAAGTACTAAAACACTGTTACCGTGTCACCCCAGTCCTTCTCTTTGTTAACTGGTTGGTTGGTTGGTTGGTTGGTTGGTTGGTTGGTTGGTTGGTTGGATGGATGGATAGATGATAGAGAGAGGGATAGATGGATGGATGATAGAGATATGAATGGATGGATGGATACATGATAGAGAGAGGAATAGATGGATGATGATAGAGAGAGAGATATGAATGGACAGATGCTAGAGAGATGGATGGATGACAGAGAGAGGGATGGATAGATGATAGAGCCAGGGATGGATGGATGGATGATAGAGAGAGATATGAATGGACGGATGTTAGAGAGATGGATGGATGGCAGAGAGAGGGATGGATAGATGATAGAGAGAGGGATAGATGGATGGATGATAGAGATATGAATGGATGGATGTTAGAGAGATGGATGGATGACAGAGAGAGGGATGGATAGATGATAGAGCCAGGGATGGATGGATGGATGATAGAGATATCAATGGATGGATGGATACATGATAAAGAGAGGAATAGATGGATGATGATAGAGAGAGATATGAATGGACAGATGTTAGAGAGATGGATGGATGACAGAGAGAGGGATGGATGGATGATAGAGACAGGGATGGATGGATGATAGAGATATGAATGGATGGATGGATACATGATAGAGAGAGGGATAGATGGATGATGATAGAGAGAGATATGAATGGACAAATGTTAGAGAGATGGATGGATGACAGAGAGAGGGATGGATGATAGAGACAGGGATGGATGGATGGATATATGATAGAGGGAGGGATAGATGGATGATGATAGAGAGAGATATGGATGGATGGATGTTAGAGAGATGGATGGATGACAGAGAGCGGGATGGATGGATGATAGAGATATAAATGGATGGAGGGGTGATAGAGAGAGGGATAGATGGATGAATGATAGAAAGAGGGGTGGATGGATGATAGGGAGCGATATGAATGGATGGATAGATGATAGAGAGGGATGGATAGATGATAGAGAGAAGGATCAATGGATGGATGGATGGATATTTACCTGACATCCAGGGCCTGAATGAGATGGGTCACGGGTGTTTTTATTTTGTTTGTAGAAATCAAATATCATCAAGGCTGCATAAACCTTCCCCACTGTCATGGCTTCAGCTAATCAGGGAAGAAAAATAGAAATACGGCTTTCTGAGTAGCATTAAGTCATAAGGTGGATGCCATTTGTGCTTCTTTCCACTTGCACAGGCACAGAAGGAACACTTCGGAGCACTTACGTTTATGAGGTGGCACTAACAGATCCAAGTTTTTGGAGGACAAATTGGGCCAAACCATCGAGACCTCCTTCCTTAGCTCAGCGTCACACTGGTGTTGCAGCACACCTGGGAGATAGAAAGCCAAGAAACAAGATCTAATTCCAAAGGGAAATTGTTAATCAACCGAAATTGAACTAGGAGGGAGGGACCTTGGAGGTCATCCAGCCAGCCAGCCATCCCCTTACCTGATGCAAGTTTGATGTCCAGGGCTGTCCTTATCAAGGCCATTAGCGTTGACGTGAAGTGGACACTCAGATCATCGTTTGAGATGGGCATGTTCATCCTGACCAAACGCTGAAGGAAAGAGAGTTCTTCCGGTCAAGGCTTCATCCCTTGTCACCTGCTCCCAACCTCCACCTCCTACTCCCCTCCAAAGGAAAAGAGGAGAACCGTGTCCTACGAGGCTGACTTTTCATGTGCTGAGATGGTTTTCATCATGGGCCGGAGAGGAAGATTCAGTCACAATTTTGGAGCGGTGGGGTTCCCCCCCACTTTTTTAAAAAACTTCAGCACAGGGAAAGTTCAGCACAAGTGTTGGTTGTATTTCTTCATGCAAGGCAGGGAAGGAAGGAAGGAAGATGGGAGGGAGGGAAGGAAGGAAGATGGGATGGAGGGAGGGAAGGAAGGAAGATGGGAGGGAGGGAAGGAAGGAAGATGGGANTGGGAGGGAGGGAAGGAAGGAAGATGGGAGGGAGGGAAGGAAGGAAGATGGAATGGAGGGAGGGAAGGAAGGAAGAAGGGAGGGAGGGAGGGAAGGAAGATGAGAGGGAGGGCACAAAGGAAAGAAGGAGGGAAGATGGGAGGAAGCGAGGGAAGGAAGGAAGATGAGAGGGAGGGAAAGAAGGAAGATGGGTGGGAGGGAAGGAGGGAAGATGGGAGGGAAGGAAGATGGAATGGAGGGAGGGAAGGAAGGAAGATGGGAGGGAGGGCACAAAAATGAAGGAGGGAAGATTGGATGAAGGGAAGGCAGGAAAATGGGAGGGAGGGAAGGAAGGAATATGGGAGGGAGGGAAGGAAGGAAGATGGAATGGAGGGAGGGAAGGAAGGAAGATGAGAGGGAGGGCACAAAGGAAGGAAGGAGGGAAGATGGGAGGAAGGAAGATGGGAGGAAGCGAGGGAAGGAAGGAAGATTGGAGGAAGGGAAGGAAGGAAAATGGGAGGGAGGGAAGGAAGATGGAATGGAGGGAGGGAAGGAAGGAAGATGGAATGGAGGGAGGGAAGGAAGGAAGATGGGAGCGAGGGCACGAAGGAAGGAAGGAGGGAGGATTGAAGGAAGGAAGATGGGAGGGAGGGAAGGAAGGAAGGGAAGGGAGGAAGGTTAAGGTTTCTTTGAGATAATGCTCTCCTGAGACATATCAGAATTACAGCTACAACACATGCACTTTGGACGATCTCATGCACAGTATCTCCATAGTTGGGATCATGCCAAGAAGGCAGCAATACAGACACACAGAAGGATGGATCAATTATAGCCCATAAGAAGCATGTGGAGGAGAAACACCAGGTAGATGTCAGAAGGTCAATTGAGAGCAAAAGAGATGACAAGAACCATGGTTGGCAGAACCAGCTCTAGGAAACAAGGAAGCAACTGGATAGGGAGGACAATCACAACATCTTTCTATGTTCTCCAGAAGACACGGACACAACAAATAGAGATGGGAGGGACGCAGAGATCACAAGAAGCCAGAAGGAACAGAAAGACAGAACACACTCTCTCTCTCTCCCTCCCTCCCTTCCTCCCTCTCTCTCTCCTAAAGTTGGTTGATGTCTTCAGAGAAGCAACAGTGGTCTGTGCTTCAAGTCACCTGCTCCATGAGAAGGAAGTCTTCTACATCCAGATCAGGGCATGGATGAGAAAGCTATCCAGCTGCTCAAGCAACATCTTTTTTTGTAGAACTCCCTGGCCAGGCAGAGTGTCTAAGATAGCAAAGGACGTACGCCTATCAGGTCAAGAATCCAGACCTTCAGCTCCAAGGAAACGGAGAGAAGTGAGGCTCTCTCAGCCTTTGAAGGACATGGCTCACATTTGTCCTGTTCTTCAAAGGCGAATCACTCCTCTACTTTACAATCAGAGGTGATATTCAGCCGGTTCGGACCGGTTCGGGCAAACCGGTAGCGGAAATTTTGAGTAGTTCGGAGAACCGGTAAATGTCACCTCTGGTTGGCCCCTGTCGCCCCCGGCCTATTGTCAGGCCTGCAGCCATCTTTTCTTTTGGATCTTTGGTCTGCCACACTTTCTATCATTCTACTATGCATTTTCTATGATGGGAAAATGGGAGGGGGGATCGTATGGAGCTAGATGATATGTAGCCATAACAAAATTCTTTCTAGAAAGCCAAGGTCATCCTTTGTCTTTGCACCTCTGCACCTGACCGGAACTGGATGGGTGGAATTCATAGAATTGGTACGAAAAGAATCCCACCACTGTTTGCAATGCTTTTAAGTAGCCACCTCAGTCCATGGTGAGGGTGGACAATGAAGTCTTACTAGCAACTAGTTCAGAGTTCATGTCCTAATTGCAAATTAACCTCTTAACCTTCTTAAAAAGAAGTTCCTTTTTTTTGGATATGTTCCCATGCACCCTGGCACGGAAAACAGTGGTGGGATTGAACATTTTTTTTACTACCAGTTCTGTGGGTGTGGCTTGGTGGGCATGGCATGGCTTGGTGGGTGTGGCAGGGGAAGAACACTGCAAAATCCCCATTCCCTCTCCTCTCAAGGGAAAGGTTATTGCAAAAACCCCATTCCCTCCCCACTCCAGGGGAAGGACACTGCAAAATCTCCATTCTCTCCCCACTAATCTGTTTTCCAGCTCCATTCTCCTGTGCAGGGCAACAAAAGAAGACCCAGCTGATTTAGCTGGGATTCAGGAGGCAGCGAATAGATTGAGGGCGGGGCCAGCCAGAGGTGGTATTTGCTGGTTCTCCAAACTACTCAAAATTTCCGCTACCAGTTCACCAGAACCTGTCAGAACTGGCTGAATACCACCTCTGACCAAAAACCCAAAATGTGGATTCGCCCTCTCCTAGAAGCAGACAAAAAGGATTGAAGGAAATTGGAAAAAAAGGATCGAGAGAGGTTTTTTTTTAAAAAAAAAAACAAGCACGAAGAGAATGATGGTCCAGATGGAACAGTTTAAAACTGGAACAGGGGTATCCAAATTGAATGACTGAGGAACTGTAATTCTAACCCAAACGAGAAGTGGATGTACCACAAGATATTCTCCCCGGAGAAGACGGTTTACAATTGATCTTCTCCAACCGCTTATTGCGACAATCCCATGCAGCCTATAAATAAATGGAAAAACTCTATGCCAAAGAGTCTTATTAGGATGCTTTACAGGTGGAATTGGACAACTCGCTGCAGCCAACTTCTCACCATCAACCTGACGCCGCCAATTTTGCCCCGGATTCACAACTCACTGCAGAACAACTCAACGTGGTCGATTTACCACAGGACAACTTGCTGAGGGACAATTCAACAATTCAATGATTTAAAACAGGGGCATTAAACTCAAGGGCCGGGGGGCGGGGGCTGGATCCGGTCCACGGGGCGCTTAGATCTGGCCCGTAGGAGTGCTCTGAAAATAGCAAAGGACTGCCTCTGCCGGTGAAAATGGAGCTTGGTAGGGCTGCATGGAGCCCTCCCGAGCTCCATTTTCACTGGCAGAGGGTTGCAACAGGCTGTCGCAGCCGGAATGGAGCTTGGGAGCCCGTTTGGTTTGGCAGAGTGCTCAGGCCACCACAGGTACCCTCAACACGAGTGATGTCGAGCTGGCCATGCCCACCCTGGCCCCCGCAAGGTCAAAAACAACCTTGATGCGGCCCTCAAGGAAATCGAGTTTGACACCCCTGATTTAAAATAATTTTCAAAATACTGTATTTTTCAGAGTATAAGACGCACCTTAGTTTTTGGGGAGGAAGATAGTGTGGGAGGGGGGGAGAGATTCTGCCTACCAGGTATTCATCTAGCTAAAACCTTTAGTCTGGTCAGCTTCAGCACATACATTTGCTGGTTTTGAGTGTGGTGCGTGCATGCTTTTTATCCCCTGATTGGGGATAAAAATAGCTTCTAAAGCACAGCTGATCGTCGGAGGGAGCAGCAATAAGAAAAGCAGGCAAAGCACGGAAGATCGCTTCACTCGCTAGCGCCTCATTAGGACTGGAAAACAGCTTCTAAAACACAGCTGATCGTTGGAGGGAGCAGCAATAAGAAAAGCAGGCAAAGCACGGAAGATCACTTCACTCGCTAGCGCCTCATTAGGACTGGAAAACGGCTTCTAAAGCACAGCTGATTGAAGGGAGCAGCAATAAGAAAAGCAGGCAAAGCACAGAAGATTGCTTCACTCGCTAGCGCCTCATTAGGACTGGAAAACAGCTTCTAAAACACAGCTGATCGTTGGAGGGAGCAGCAATAAGAAAAGCAGGCAAAGCATGGAAGATCGCTTTACTCGCTAGTGCCTCATTAGGACTGGAAAACACCTTCTAAAGCACAGCTGATCGTTGGAGGGAGCAGCACTGAGAAAAGCAGGCAAAGCACGGAAGATTGCTTTACTCACTAGCGCCTCATTAGGGATGAAAAAAAGCTTTGAAAAAGCAGCATTTGGAGTATAAGACACATCCGATTTTGTCAGCCTCTTTTGGGTATGTGTCTTATACTCTGAAAAATATGGTGTATTTTTGTCATTCACATTTCATTCTGTCCTGCCTTTGGCATTCTTTCTTTCATGATTCTAGTCCCGTTTCTTGGATATTCAACTCGACACAGCGAGTTGTCCCATGGAGCATTGGCGGCAGCGAGTCGGCCACGTTGGCTGTGGCGAGTTGTCGTAGACCCGCTATAGGGGCAGTTATGTATGTGCAAATAAGGGTTTCTTTCGTTTCACCACCACCACCTTGAAATAGGTGAAAATATTCACTGAAATAGGTGAGAGTAATTCCTAGTTTTTTGAAGAGAGTTGTATGGGTGCGGCATTCTGAGGTATGTGTGTTCTCTTTTCAACCTCGTGAAAGGAGAATCCAATGAGGGCGACCATTTATTTGTCTTCCATTGGAGACTTGGAAGTCAGTTAACAGTAACAGAGTTGGAAGGGACCTTGGAGGTCATCTACTCCAGCTCCCTGCTCACGCAGGAGACCTATACTAGGGATTCGAACCACCAAACTGCCGAGAGTTGGACACCCCTGGACCAGAGGAGAAAAGAGTTCTGCAGAAGCCACGAGTGCCACGAAGGAAGGAGGGCGTAAAGCTTAGAACGAAACACAGACATCTGACGGGGCAAATCTAACCTTATAGGCAATACGAGCGGGACAGTTCTTCCCGAGGCCAAGTGGTGGCGACATGTGCCTCAGCATCTCGTACATGTCGGTGTAACTGATCCGCCCACTTGGAACCAGAAGAGGGAGACAGACAGACAGACGGGGAAGGTAAGACAACACAAGAGAGAAGCACCAGCCACAAACAATGGGGAGAAAAATAATAAGGGGAAAGCAAAGGAGACAAAAGAATTCTTAGGTTAATTAGTGCGTTGGAAGACTGGTTTCCGGGGAAGGTAACAAAAACGAAGGAGGAGCTTCTCCCAGTCCATCTCTTTTGGGTTTCTCCTGCCATCTGCTCTCAAAAGATTTGAGATCTCTCTTTTATTTAAATTTAAATTGGAAAGAAACAGATCAGGCCGTACGAAAGGAAGAGAGGCGGTGTGGAATCCTTGGGGAAGGTGGGTGTGCGTGTGGGAAAAAGAAATCGTAGCCCCTTTTGGAAAAAGGCAGCACTCGATTTCGAACGGGGGGAGGTGTTGTTTTCGTGTAAAGGGAAGTGGTAAGTGCTCCTCTGGAGGAGAGGGGAAAGGAAGCGTTATGGGACGGTCAGCCGGGGTTTGAAGGAAAATGTTGGTTCGAGTCCTTGGCATTCTCTGATCTTGGGTGCTTTCTTGCAGATGTTTCATTGCCCAACGAGGTAACATCATCAGTGATCTTCCTTCCTTCCTTCCTTCCTTCCTTCCTTCCTTCCTTCCTTCCTTCCCCCCTTCCTTCTTTCCTTCCTTGTATTCCTCGAAAGCTGGCAGAGGATGACCCTGAGAAAGTTCTCGGATACAATAACATCTTCACTCCTGTGGATTGGCTGAGTCCATATTGGGCTGTCAGGAGGGGTTTCTAATTCCTTTCATTCTAACTGTATTGCCTGAGGGCCCTCAGAGTCTGCTTTGATCAGGTCCTGCTATCACTCCTGTTCAATAAAAGGTTCCTTTTGAAATGCCAAGTTTCAAGAGTTTTTACTTTCAGTGATCTATCTATCTTCCTTCCTTCCTTCCTTCCTTCCTTCCTTCCTTCCTTCCTTCCTTCCTTCCTTCCTTCCTTCCTT